CTGGAAGCTGAGCATCAGCTCCTTCACCCCCGTCTCTCCTGATGCTCACCGTAAGCCCTGACTGCAAGCTCGAGCGAAGCGGCTGTGAACGTTGGCTCAGTGATGAATCGGACCATCTCGCCAGGTGGAGCGAACTCACCTTTGTCTCTGGCTCCAAACGTCCGGCAAAGCAGATCCGACTCGTCGCGAGACGGCAGGTCTGCAGGGTTGCTCTTCGAGGGCACGCGGTGGTACCACGCACCCACGGGATAGACCGAATCCATGACATTTATCAAAGACATCAGCCTGAACATCGCGTCCGACTGGCTGTTCCTCTTCACGAGGGTGGCCAGGGCCGAGTTGTTGTCGATGAAGATGAAGGCCTTGCGGTTCGCCATCCTTCGACCAAAAACCCACTTGGCACAAACCACTGCAAAGAGTTCGATCTCGCATATTATCTGTTCCCCAGCCTGAAGAAGCCATACCTTCCGGATCAAGCTGGGGACCAGCCCCGAAAGGCATACTTTGTGGTCAGACTCCGGGTCAATGAAGAAGGCCCCCCACATCGCTCGGCCGCCCTCGTAGGATCCATCTGTGTACAAGATTACCGGCTTCCTTGGGTCGGTCATGTGCAACTTTCTAGGCCTCCAGGAAGATAGAGTCGCCTTGAGCAGGTCGTTCATCTGCTTGATCGCCTCCGCCCCAAAGCTGGCCGGTCTGGATGCAATACGTGAGCAAGTGCGAGCAATAGGTTTAAGCGAGGAGCCCAGCGTGAACCCCGAGGCAAAGTTCAGCAGCCCATGCAGCGACGTGGCCAGCTGCCTCAGGTCTTCGCCATCCTGGCACATCCGATCTGCCAGGGCTTGGATCCTGTCACTTCTCCCCTCCTTGTTCGCAACCTCGAGACCGCCAGAGTGCAACGAAGAGACATCAAAACTGGGCACCAAGTGCCGTCCAGCATGTGCCGAAGTCAACTGCCTTCTTACCAGAAGTGGCATGGGTCCATCCCAAGGCGGTAAGCAATCTCGAGAACGAGTCCGAAGCGCTAGATGATGTTTGCATCAAGTCAGGCGTAGGGAAGTCGTCCACGAAGACCGAAGTGACAAGCCTCAACTTTTCCACAGCAATGTGCCACAAGGCTCTCGAGATTTTGTTGAACGCGAAGACCGATCCACTGCCTCCAAAGGGTAATCCCCGCGCCAAGTAAAAAGTCCACTGGCGGTCTCTGCCCGGCATGGCTATGACCGCATACTTCAGTGACTCTTCGAGGACGGGAACCTGCTTATAGGCTTTGGAGAGGTCGAAGCAACGGCCAGCCCATTCCGCCTTCTTGCTGTCGGGGTGCCATGGGCCAGAGAGAACCTCTCCAGAAGATAGCAAGACCCTAACTTCGTCATGGCGGCTCCACACATCCGCGACGAACATCGCCACAGCCGTCACAAAGTCAATGTCATGCATCTGCAGATGCGAGGTGGATCCGAACGATGCGTTCACCCCCGAATCACGGAGGTTGTCGATGACTCTCGGCTTCCGGTCCTCACCCTGGAACAGCAAGAACCTCTGGCTAGGCGACCACTCCTCGGTACCCAGCCGCTTCGTAACCGCCGCCTCGTCGGGGAACGGTCCCTCAAGGAAACCTAGTCGACACTCGTCTTCGGTCTCGGAATTAAGGATCTCAAGCTCCTCGTCTCGAAGGATTTGAGGCGGCTTAGCAAGTAGCACCCGCCTCCTCCAGACAGCCTGTGAATCCAACTGCTCGGGGGTAGCCCTCATCGGTTTGGGTCGCGATGGGAACAAGGCGGAGGAGGGCTCCACTCCGACAAGCGAGACGCCTTCCTCCATAAATTGGCACACATCCTGGTCGGGGAACTTCGTCTCATTCACAAGCTCCCTGAACAAAGCAAGGCATTTGTCCTTAGTGATGG